TATGAGTGTGGCAGTATCAGCTACAATAAAAAATTCTCATAGTAAGTAATTATTTTATATTTTTTCTTTTTTGAGTCATGATAAAATTCGGGTGTTTTTCTACTTTATTTTTCTTGGCACTTCAACTGAATATTGACTGTCACAAGTTCTATCCGGCTAATTTTCTGTGTTGTTAAGATAGAATGTCTAATAGAATGATTAAATTGTTGCCACAGTCTCATCTTGCACTCATCTATCTATCTTCTAATTTCTTCGCTTCGCATCTAATTTTTCCCTCTCATTGGTTAACAGCCCGAATTATTTTACTGTCTAAAACAAAAACTAACGTTGTAAATATCAACGATACACGTCCAATTTTTTTGTTTCCATGTTTCTCTAAAATGTATGAAAAAATATTCCTTATTTACTTTTACCACTGGATTCATGATTCTGGGATTCTTCCCGATGAACAAACTGGTTTTCGCCCAAGTCACAATATGGTTGTCCGTCCTGTTGCTATCGTTGACCAAACTGGTCAAACTTTATCTTTGAATACAGCAGCGGCCGCGTTATATGTTGACTTTAAAGCTGCTTTTAACCAGCTCTGGTATAAGGGGCTGTGACTCAGGCTCGAACATTTGGGTTGTCCTTTATATATGATTACTTGGTTACGCAAATATTTGTCGGGGCGAACAGCCTATATTGAAATCAAGGATTTTAAATCAGCTATTTTTTCTCTTTTTAAAGATGTTTCGCAAAGATCGTGTAGAAGTCCAATATTATTCATCGTATTTCATTTTGATTTGCTAAACTCAATTTCTAATCTTCATTGGAAGCATCTTTTTGCAGATGACTTAACTGTGATTGTCTCTTCATTGGGTCCTCTAAAGTGCTTATTCTGAATCTTAGTGAATATATTACTCATGTACTTGAAAGTCTTCTTTCTTATTAATATTTTTTTTGGACACTCTTCCATCGTCGAGTCGCTCCTTTAATTCCTGTTATTGTTTGTAATAACTATATAGTGAAACATGTTTCCAAATTCAAGTATTTAGGCACTATCTTTGATGCAAAATTGTCGTTTTCTTCTCATCTTGATTACATTAAGAGAAAAATCCGTACAAACGCCTCTCCACTTAAATGTCTATCTGTTAGTCGTACGTTAAGCGAGCATGTAGTGTATCGCCTATTTTTTGCGTTCATTCGTCCGCATTTTCAATCGCTATTTGATGTGTATCCTATTCTTGCGATAAGTAAACAACAGGAGCTTGAAGCATTAAATCGTCAAATGTTTAGAGCTACTCGTGATGCCAAAAACGTTGAAATAGAGGGTTTGCCAAGATACAAATCTATAGGGGCGTTAACACAAATACATTGGGCAAAGCTGCTCTCTACCTTACTTGTCACAAATCCTAGCGTGATCTGCGACTATATTCAACATAAACTGTATTTATTGTTTTTGCAAGAGTACTGTGTCAACCCGCAGTTACTAAAAGAAACGCGTCTAATTTGCAACAGAGGTAAAACTGGTAAAAACATTAAAAAACTCCTCGGCGTTCAAAGACCTTCCTTCCCTATTTGACTTTCTCTTCGATTACTAAATGAAGTTCTATCGCTTCTGTGTTTTCGTTTTTCTCCTGAATTACTTTCTCATGTTTTATGGTGTGTATATAATGGTGTGATCATTGTGATATTTTCTTAGATGGTGTTTTTCTATGTGGTTTTCTTTTTGATGTTTAGACTATAGGGACGAACTTCGTCTATAGTCAATGTAAAAGTGGAGCTGTAATTTTTTTTTCTTGTATCATTTATTTTTGGTCATATATGAATAAAGCAATACTACTACTACTATTTTGATTATACGATCTTGCATCCATACCCAACAACCGTTTAGGAGTAATTTTTTTTTCAATTTTTATTTTATATAAAATTTCATGTAGTCCTTTTTCCGATGTCTGTATCACTAAAAAAAAGAAAAACTGTATTAAAGAAATCATAGAATAGTTGCGAATTTTTTTGTACACAATAAAAACACAATATATAGAAAGGTGTAAATAAAAAACAATTTCTCAATATAAAAACGATCAAAGAAACAAACATAGAAAACAAAATTTTCTTTTTCGTTAAACAAAAAAACACACGTACACTCACTAAGATATTAAAAAAAAGAAGAAAAAAAAAACTCAAAAACAAAAAAAAAACAACAAAAAATGTTTTATTTTCACATATATTAATCGTTTACAAAAATACAACATGTTCTTTTCCTTTCTCTTCTCTTCATCTGTTTTATTAACTCAATTATGGGTCAACTTTGTAATGGATAACAAAACGATTCGTTCAAAGTGATCCTAAAAGATCAAACGTTATATCATATGTAAGAAGAACATTCATTTCATTATTGATTTATTTTGATTTTAATAAGGTTGTAAGTTATCTCATATAAGATATACCACCATCGGTCATTAAAATTATTTATCGAACGGATCATAGAAGAGAATCTATTTTCAATTATTGAATCGATATACACATTCCTATAGTTTATCCTAAACACATACTCATATTCATAGTTAATTATTACCTGTTGTATGTACAGATGAATTTTTTGGTTGTCTACACGTTTGTGTTCGTGGATTCGATAACTGATTTCGAAAATAAGCACCTTTCTGATCTAAAAATAAAAATATATGTACATAAATTAACAATTCTCAAATGTACACCGTCTATATCTTATTCTTACTTGGTTCCAAATTATTTGATAATGGATTCGATACATTATTGTTACCTTGGATAGAAAAGGTGTTTGGATTTGGTGAACCGGCTAAAAAAGAAAATAATAATAGATATCAAAGATAACTATATATAAATTATTAGAATTATTCTCACCTTTATTTTGAACATCTTTATCAGGTTTTTGTCGACTATTGATTGTGTTTTGTAATTGTTTTCGAACAAATTCACGTGTTGACTGTTGCGGTTGAAAACTAAAATGTTAATAAAATGTCTATAATGATAAATTATTAAATGATGACTAAATAATTCTACCTTAAACTATTTATTAATTGATTTTGTAATTCATCTGATTGACGACCAGATGACTGTATATCAGATAAACCAATTGGGTTAAGTAAATCATTTGAATCTTAAAAAAAAAAAGAATAAAGTAGAATGGAATCAACCGAATTTTATCATGACTCAAAAAAGAAAAAATATAAAATAATTACTTACTATGAGAATTTTTTATTGTAGCTGATACTGCCACACTCATATTTGGATATTCCTAAGTAAAAAAAGATAGAAAAAAATGTTAAATTTAATTAATTAAATATCTCGTGGAACATTGATATCAATGAAAATCACGAATTACTTTTGTTCTCTGTTATTCTTTTGTAAACACATTCTCAAGAAGTTGTCATAACATATCGTTAAATTCCGTATTGTTCTGATCAATACAAATTTTTCAAAACGTTCAATAATCATACTACATGTATTTATTAGTCTGCTGTTCTACAATCGAACATATTATTTCAAAAAGATGTTCAGAATACATATGTTATACACAAACTCAAATAAAGTAAGTTTTTCAGCAACAATTTTAATGTATTCATTGAATAACTCTACTTTCTTTTTCAAATAAATTTGAATTGAACTGACATTTGATACTAGATGAGTTACCTGACGCTGTTCTAAATCATTTGTTTTCTTATCCACCATATCAGCAGCAAAAATAAATTTCAAATCGAAACAAAACAATTAGAACACTTGAGTACAACCATTAGAAGGTGTAAAACTCAGTATATCAAAAAATAGATAAATAAAGACATTAATCTTTTAGAGAACAAAAAGAGAAGAAGTAATATATATATTCAATGAATTATCCATTTAAAATTTTTTTAATTGTAAAACGATAGTTATGTATTTTTATTATAAGTATGAGTTTCGAAATTAATCTTTAGGAGAGAGAACAGTCTGATATTTAGTTCATCAGAAAAACAACTACAAAAAAAGATGTTCCAAGGTTCTATCTTTTGACATATGAGATGAAAGTTAAGTGTTACCTTGAACTTGCTAAGGCAAAAAAAAAAGAAACCTCGAGGACGGAATATATATATATATATACAGCGCATCCGTTCAACGAAGAAAAAAGATGATGATTTTTTTTTTTTAGCTATTTCTTTATACAATAATGAAGAGGAAGAGAGAAGGAGTATTGTATATTTAGTCAAATTCTTTTACTGCTATGCTACTCTATATTTGTGTCATAGAACCTTGTTACGTGAATAAATCTTGATCATTGTGTATGTATATACACACATTTATTTCCATTAAGAGTAAAAAATGTTCAATAGAAAGTAGATGCACAGTGTGACCGAAAATGAATGAGAGAAAGAAAAAAGAAAAGAAAGAAATACATAACCAGTTCAAAAATGTTCTTCCTTTTTCTTATACATAAATACGAGGTTCGTATCGAGTTCATTCTACAAGGTCGTCCTTGAATTACGAAAGTATCGTTGTGTCTAGATCAAGGATTGAATATATATTTTATACATATACAAGGAACAAAAAAGAAATATTTTCAAAAATTTATTTCTTACAGCCATTTTTGTATTTTAATGAACAATTGATTGAATAATTTAAAAATATTCTGATTAGAGAGAGAGAGAGTGAGCGAATTCACTTTTATTCAGAAAAGTATAGAATTTTCTTACAATAACTAATTTTCACTAATGAGAGCTGATCGAAAAACATTAAGATTTCAAATATGAGTTGCGTCATAACCCAGTAGAAAACAAAGTGTCTAAAATGTTATAGTTCTGCGATTAGAACGTTATTCTAAATATCAATTAATGAACAATGTAAATAATAAAAATAGCATCCTCAATTTGAGGTTATATTCTAATTTGAAAGTCTAATTGTATTCTTAACTTCAAAAAATTCTCTTGTTGCTCGATGACAAATCCTAGTTTTGACCGTAAAACTTAGCCTAGCAAAGTTTTTTTTTCTTTTTCTGATCAATTATAATCTTTTTTGCTCTTCAGACGAAAAAAAAAGAGTTTTTCCAGATTTGTTCAGTTTATTAATTTGACATCATCTTCGTCGTTTTCTTTTTTTGAATCATAACAAGACAAAGAAAGAGATTAATAAAGATAAGATACACGCATACAAATTAATATGTTGGATGAAAAAAAATGATTCAGTTATTTAAAGACATTGAGAAGAAATAATTAACTTAAATTAAATGATATACTATTCGACTGAAATTGAAGAATAGATTAAAAACCAGTATAAGAGAAATAGTCTGCTAAATAATTGTGACCAAATTATATGTTTATACATATACATATGAAAAAAACACCTTGACCTCATCTATTGGTATTTCTTTATCCCTCTCTTTCTCTCTCTCTCTCTCATTCAATTTTTTATTTCAGTACAAACATATGAACATAAAAATAACAAGAAGAAGACGAGTTAATATATATGTTGAACAATACACATTGCCCTATTATGCAACAAATACACATACATACACACACACACACATCATTGTTCAACGTTATGGATGATGACATTTTAGTTCGGAAATTGTTGCTTAAAACATCAGAAGAAAAAGAAATTCCAAGTATACACTTGTTCATCGTGATGATCAATATGTGTATACAATTACATATCGTGACATTTTTCTTTTTTTGAGTTGAACATGAACAAGATAGTTGACAAAAAAAAAATGTGTAAATTTTATTCTCTATTTTAAAGAGTCATCAAACTTAGTATTATCAAATAGGATACATTAAAGTTTAAGAAAAACATGTTTTAATATACTGAAATATAATTGAATAATTGATGATCTATCAATAATTAGTTTATAAAATTTATATCTAATACGAAATTGAACAACTACAAGATCTCGAATAGATCTTTTTTTTTAAACAACAATTCAATGTCAAACTAAGTTATTTTGAGAGACGATGAATTTTTGTTGTTCTAAATTAGAATTCTACAAATAACTTCTGATTTCTTTTAGTAATTTCTCATTCTCTTTTTCTATCATTGAATTATTCCGTTAACATACTAATTTTTATGTCTTTCGATTTTCTGCCAAATAAGATCGAATGCAAAAATATGTTTTTCACACTTTATATATTGAGTTTAGACATATATTCATTTATAATAAAAAGAGAAAAAAGAACCTATATATATATATATTCATTCGTAATGTCTAAAAATAAGTTTTTACATCGTTCTTCTATCTTATCATTAAAGATATTTGAATGAACCTTGAGATCAACAAGAACAAGAATCCCTAGAACCTTGAATAGAACAGCAGAATTTTTTTTCTTCTTCTTCATCTTCGTTTTTTTTTCTTGCACAAAAAAATTATATACAATGTCTATATGTGGATCATACATGCAGTTAAAACAGAAAAAATTAACTTTTTATTTTATTTTTTTTTTTTGATAAATTGTGGGAAAAAGAAAAAATTTGATCCATTCAGAAGGTAAGCAACAACAACAGTTTAATAAAATAAATTCGTCAAGGTTTTCCTAATATGTTATTGTATTTCTAATATTTGAACCTTGAAAGAGTCCATAATTTATCAGTAATAAATGCTGCCAGGAAGGTTGTTCATCATTAGCCTTCATCACTCACACACACACACATCTATATACTTTCTATGTATAGAGCATGTAGAGTTAATGGAAGCGCCTTGTTTATAACTGATATAGCGATTCTCTCTTCTCTCTCTCTTTCTCTCTTCATATATAGATGTAAAGTAGCCTTGAGTTTTACTAAGCAATTGCGCTTGATAGCGTGAATTTAAAAAAGAATGACTTGAAGAGAGAGAGAGAAAACTATTGTTCAAGGTTGAACAATATTATAAGATAACTTGTAAAAAAAAATAATCAAATCAAGGTTATCAACATTTGAAATCAATTTCTTTTTTCTCTCGCCTCTTTTCTTTCATCGTCATCACCATCATTTACTTCTACTACTACCATCATCAATATTTCTTAACAAAGTTTAAACTTACAGAATGGACTTGTTAAAAATTGTGCAAATAAGAAAAAATCTAACTGTAAGTAAAAGATTTTCCTATTTCTTATCAATTCAAAACAGCACACTCTCTTGGTTATGTATACGTGTATCGAAGTGACGTACCTTCTTTTTGTTATGAATTCTGACGATTATATTTTCCATTTACGCTTTTGAAAGAAAACTTCATAATAACGAGATCAGTTAAATACACGTTCTAATAGTTAGTATAAAGCATTAAAGAGTTAATGTATTAAGGTAATAATGATATATCATCATCACTAAGTTGAAATTTTATGATATTTTTCAGTTTTAATATAAGTGTGTATAACGAAGTCAGTTTGGTTTTCGATTAGTAACATCACAGATCGGAGTATGGTACGCGATGATATATAGGTGGAAGATTCCATCCTTAATAGGAAGACATGGGGACAATTCCATGCAATCTTTGATGTTGAAGAACTCTCAAAGTGTAGTTTATATTAAACTATCAAGAGTATAGAAATGTTTTAGACAACTAAAAATATTTTAATTTTTTATTGAAGGATGTAGTGAATCTCTTATGAAACTATTTTCTTAAAGTAAATACTGTTTGCTCGAGTAATCAGATGAGTGCTTATAATCAATTATTTGATAGTAATCAATATTAAAAGTTTAATCGAATTTATAATTATAGTTTTTGAGTGTATTTATCAGTTCTTGAAGTAAGATTTATATAGATGTCAGTAATTTTGATCTAGATTTTTATCTAAAGAAGGATAAAAAAGTTATCCTTAGATAAAGAAGGTTTGTAAAAATTATTAAAATATTTGTACTATTAGAGGAATCATTGAAAATGTTTTTATTTAGTTTAAAAATAAACTTTGTGCAGTTACTTCAAAACATATTCAAAAATTTGAATCGAACAACATGAATTAGATGTTTCTATTTGGCTAGTAGTAGAATGAAAATCCTTGAAGTACGTGTTATGTCATCAAGAGCAGATAATAAAATTGAAGGAATAGATTTCAGGTGATTTTCTTTCAAAAATTTCGATATATTCATAATGATATTCTAACTTTTCTCAGAATATAACAGAAACAGAATATATTAAAGAATCAATCTCTTCATTTACTTGTTATCTATTAAATGGAACTTAAATTTGTTTGTGTCAAAAAGTGAGTCACGATTTATATTTTGAATACTTCTATCATCCATCCATTTAATCAATATTTAAGTGTGACTTGTTCTATTACATGAAATGTTTCGATTCTATGTAGTCTCATTTGTTAAAGACAAATTCAAAGTTAAAATTGTTTCAGAAACTATAGTCTAATTTTACAATCTGTATAGATTTAATTATTTCTCTATCTGAGTTTAAAAGTCTAGTAGACTAGTCTATTCTACCGACTACTATACATGTTTATAAAGATATGTATATATTTGAAACTGACGAGATTCGTGGAGATACGATTCAAACTGAAGAAGAAAAAAATGTGTACGAACATTTATTGCCTGGTTTACGAAATATACGAATAAGAATGAAATATACAAACGGTAAATATCTCCTTTAAAGTTCATCTTTATAACGTTTGATTAGAAACGCACAAACTATCAATTACAATCTATCAAAAATACCTTTACTAATATCTGATAGATAGCGATAAATCTATCAATTCTGTCATAGATGAAGTTTTTTCTTCGCTGAAAGCATTAATCAATTTATATGAAAAAGAATTTTTTCACTATTTAATATGATGCGTTAATAATTCTATTTTGAAAAATTAATGTTCAAACTAATTGACATTCATTGTTTTCAAATAGGAAGAGAAAACAATAACAATGTCAAGTAAAATAAAAAGGAATTTCGCAGTTTTTTTTCCTTTTTGAAAAATGTAATAATAAATGATAGAATCAGAGAGACACATATTAATTATGAATAATATCAATACACAAGGGAACATGAGATAGCAATAATAAATGAATATAAAAATAGAAAATATTTGAGCCTAACGTACAGGTCACCATGGTCTCTATTGTCGTTTCTTTTCTCTCGTTTTTTTCTTCTTGAGGATATCTGTTCTGATGTTTATCATAGACGAAAATAATAATTTTGTCTTAAAAAATCATGTTATAACCAATTTTTACTGTAAAACCTGGAGATGAAGAAACACTTACTATACCGAGAAAAAGAGTCTAAGAAATTGATCATAAAACGAACAATGAGAACAAAATCTATATTTATATATAAGAAAAGAAGAAGAAGAAAAAAGAGAGAAGAAAACAAAATAAAAAAAATAAAATAAAAAAAAAAAAAAAATTATCGAATAAGATTAAATTAGATGCAAGGTTAGCAAGTCTTTCTCGGACAGACATGTTAAGCTAGAGAAAATATTATTTATTCAAACGAGAGAAAAATAAAATCTCCATGAAACTGTCATAACTAGAAAAAACATTAAATTAATTTATTTATTGTAGTAATTTACTATCGTTTATACTTTTATCAAGTAAGATTGATGATTTTTATAGTTTCCCATTTTCAGAGCACGTTAACCTTTTCAAATATATTTATCAAAAATAAATGATTTTCTTATGTTATAAAATAATTCTTATTGATGATCACTATTTTTCTATTATAAACAAATTGAATACTAACTATATTATAAAATAAAAGTTGAATCTTTTTTTGAATAAAATAAAACATTGTATCTGAACTAAAGCTAAAATGTAGGCCATTTTTAATATTATTTATTTATATTTTTTTGTTTTATTTAAAATAAACTAACAACTTCTTATTGTTGATATTGAAATTCAAATCAGATATATAAATTATTTTTAAAAAAATTTATAAAATATGATTATATTTTTTGTTTTATTTTTGTTTATTAATTTATATGAAGGTAGTAAGACATAATTCTATTTTTAACATAAAAAATAGAAAAAACAGATTAGTAATAAGTACATTGATGATGTATATACTATAGAAAGAAACAAAGAAGAAAAAAAAATGAGTCGTCGTATAAAGTTTATCAGTACATTATTATTCATAGTAAGACTATATTGTGATAACAGAATTAATCTATGTTAACAACAGTTTATAGACATAAAACTACACTTGTTAATACTTTTTAAATTAATTTAATATCAGACACTAGAAACAGACAGTTTAGTCATAAATCGAAGAGATTCTTTTTGTTTTTTTAATGACTTTTAGAGATATATAAGAGAGCCGTTTACTTTCTTCGATGTTTTCGAACTTTTAACAAAAAAAAAAATCTTTTTATTTGTTTTATTTGTTTTATTTTACTAATATCTAATCGGAAATGATGTATTTTCATCTATATAATTATAAAATTATAAATGTACTCAAAAACATCCATTACAGAATATCCTATTTTATATTGTATATTTTTCTCTTATCGTCTGTTTAATGGTATCGTGACATTTAAAATAATAGGAAAAAAAAAAAGAAAGAAATTATCGTCGTCAACAAAAAATATTATTTTCAACTAAATGATTTATACTATTAAAAAAACACAAAAAAAAAACTAAAATTCAAACTTCTTGACAATACATGGGCGTTGTAACCAATAAATTATATATTTTAACGGTTGTCTCTTTTCTATTTTCATTCGCCTTTTGAGCCGTTATCCAATTTCTATATTTATTTATATTTCAAAAAATAAAAAAAAGTCTTTTTTTTTTCTTCTATGCATACTGTTTGACCTACTTATTTTCTCTCATTTTTCTTTTTCATCCATCATCTCATATTTTCCTTGTTCTATTTTAGATATATATATATATATATATATATATGGATGTATATTCTTATACACATATTAGTTCTCCAATTGTCATGTGGGTGGCTATCAACAAATTTACTTAACATCATTATCAGTTAGTTTTGTTTTATTTACATTTTCGATTTATTTAACTCAAGGAATTTTATTTTTCTTGGTAAGTTATTCTAATTTATAAAAATTTTTATATTTTATATTGTATGTAATATCGATTATTAGTCTCTACTGGCTCCTCTAACAGAAGAAGTCTATTCTACTGTACGTGTTTATTAATATATGTGCACATTTGAGATGGACAAGATTCGCGAACACGATTCAAATTGAAAAAAAAAAGTGTGAGAACGTTCATTGCCTGGTTTACTAAATATGAGAATAAGACTGACATATATAAACAATAAAAATCTCCTTTAAAGTTCATCTTTAATACGACGACACTTTCATCTTATATCGAGTGATCCATAAATAATCGGATAAAATTTTTTTTTCTGTTTTTGAAGTACTTAAAAGTACTTGTAAGATTTTGATCAGAACTCATTTGATAGAGAATTCATTGATCTACAAAACTATTGATTTAATTTTTCAAAAAGATTCTTCTCACCGTAGAATCCTGAACTTTAAAATGTACTCAATATTTCAACTGTGACAACCGAAAAAAGAAAACTGATAAAAACGCCTTTAACAGCCCTAAAAATTCTGCCTTTTTTTATACAGATTTGAGAATTTAAATAAAAACTTTTACAGGAAAAAGTATAGAAAAACATTCGCTTTTCTTCACAAACGATGTCCTTGTTCTTCTTTAATATAAAATACATTAAAAGTTTCCGAGATTCTTCTTAAAAGTAACACTACTTTATTTAAAATTTAATTCTGATTCTGGTGACATAAAAATAAAAACTTCATGACCACGCCTGGCTTCGTAAATCATTTAATTCCGAAGTCCATTCAAAAATACTACTAGGTCTGGGTTCTTAGCCTTTTTCTTCTGCACTACAACATTCGAAACCTTCAAAATGGCATAGAACGATAGAGCACAGAATTCTATATCTTTTGGTGTCAAATACTTTGCTCATAAGACAGAATTAATGAGATTATTTTTCAGAGGTTGAAAGAAATCTGCAGAAAACCGAAGATCGCAATTGAAACGTTGAGCACGTCTTCAAGTTCAGGATTCTACGGTGAGAAGAATCTTTTTTTGAAAAATTAAATCAATAGTTTTGTAGATCAATGAATTCTCTATCAAATGAGTTCTGATTGAAATCTTACAAATGCTTCTAACTACTTTAAAAACAGAAAAAGATTTTATCCCATTATTTATGAATCACCCATTAGAGACGTTATCTACATTTTTCCTCATTTCAGGATATATTGGTAAAGAATGTGCTAGAAAGAAGACAGAATTTTATAGACTCTTTTTCTTTTTCTTCTAATCTAGTAATGAGTAAAAAAAAGAAGAAGCATATGTATCGAGAAAAATAATTTACGACATTTTTATGTTTTTAGTGAAAACTATATCAGATAGGTTTTTGTTTATCATTACTTTTTTGAGTCTGATTCAGTCAAAGAATAAATATGGTGAATATACGAATTTGACATGATACCATTCTTGCTCAATACGTTGTTGGTTTTTTCTATGACAAATGTGGGTTATATTGGAAATTATCAATAAAAATGTAAGATTTACTTGTGTTATGGAATAAAAAGAAAAAAAGTAGAACGGAAATTATTATGTAGAAATAAAGAAATAAAAACACCTCCACATATCGATGTAAATAAGGAAGCTCATGATCATTTTTCTTATATAACCAAAAATGAGTAATAACAGTCACTCTCATTAACAAAAAATATAATAAATTATTAGATAAATAATTTCTTTTTTGTATATTTAATTTTTAATTTTAGTGTCACCATTCACATACCTGATGAATTTGGGATTGTTGTGATTGTGATAGAGAATTATTTTGATTTAGAAATGTTTCGTGATTATTAAGTATATTTAATGCATCAAGTGAATTTGAGAGCATATTTGTATTTGGATGTTTTTGTTGCTGTTGAACTTGTGTGTTTGAAGATGATTGAACTGTGGACGGGGAACCTCGTGAATGTGGCATATGAACAAAATCCGGTGTACTACCACTCATATTCGATGATTGAGGAGACATGGTAGACATGGACTCATTGGAATTGAATGAATTATTCAAACCTGTGAGAAAGAAAAGTAAGTATAAAAAATGATAAATATTGGGCAAACTCGTTTCTTGAAATTTAGCCTTGTTTACAACTAATATAGACGATTTTTCTCTCTTTTCCAATAACGGATTTCAACAAACATAAAAGTTGTACAAACATCTAATGCTTAGAGACATCAAACTGAAACAATGAGAGACGGTTAAAGGTAGCATATAAAAACTTGAATTTTTTTTGAATTAAAACATTTAATTCATTGCTAAAATTTAAATTTAAATCGAGATCTTAGTACAAATCATGGAGAAAATAGATTATTTTTTTCATTTTTCTTTTTTGAAAATGAACATTCTTTTAATGATAATACTATTTCCGTATGGTATTCAGGATATATATAGTATATCATTTTCAAAAATCAAATAATTCTAATCACACTGATTACATTGTTTAGGCTTATTGATATAGCATAAAATTGTCGTATTAATTATTAGCAAATTTACTTCTCATTTCTATCGATACAAAACTGTAAAGTTCTTTGTCCTTCAACATTACATTTATTTCGTGAAATAATATGTAGAAAAAGTGAGTGAATACCTAATGATGTACCTGATGGCATACGTTGCTGATTAACTCTAGATGATCGATCGTAAACACAAGCTGAATTTGATTTGGATCCAATCTAAAAAGAATCAGTTACTTATAAAAACCAAAGTATTGAAGTCAAGACTATCGTTTAAATTCCGAAAATATTTTACAGATTTTCATTCAATAGAAACACTTACATTTGGCAATACAACATTCATTGACATATGTAACTGGACATTATGTTGAGAACTATTCCACTGTTGTTGTTGTTGTTGTTGATCAATTTGCATTTGCACCTGTTGTTGTTGGTGTTGTTGTTGTTGCTGCATAAACACTTGACGAGTCATGAAATTATTTTGAGTTTGTAATGATCGCTGTTGACTATTGTTGAGTGGTGTCTGTTGATACATCATATTCGGTCCAACAACTTGATTTGGTGGTAGAAATTGATTAGGCATATTATTATATGAAGTCGACGAGGGATAAGAAATGTGAGATGATGTTCGATTGCCGTTAGATTGATAGAACGAATTGGTTTGTGGTGGCAATTGTTGTTGTTGTTGTTGATGATGTTGGACGTGTGATGGTTTCATAGAAATATTTTGATAACCATTCATTATGCCGTCGATTGATGTTTGACGATTCAGATGTTGTTGCGGCTGTTGCAGTGGTAAGAAAGTATTCGATAGTGGAGACAGTGATATATTTGGTACTGAACCACTATCTAATGATAATCCATCATCAACCAAATATGTATTGTTCTAGAAAAAGAGAGAATTTAATCTAATTAACGCTACAAGAATAAATCAGATACATCACAGATATGCCACTTCAGCTTACATACCATTTGAGGATATTGATATGCTCCTGATGTAAGCTGATGTTGAAAAGGTAAGGACTGCTGGGACTGCTGTTGTTGCTGATGTGGCCGATATTTTATTTGCATTTCATTCATTCCATTTCTCAATGAAGTTGATGGGGCAATACGATTTCTTGGCATTTCATTTGAAAAAAAAGGATCACCGGTATATGCGCCTTGAAAAAAACATGACATCTTTTTTTTATTCTATGCATACTGTTTTTTTAATGCGTTTCCTAAAAATAAAAACCAACATACTGAAATTATTGTCCTCCATCAACAAACAATCAAAAANTTTGCATTTCATTCATTCCATTTCTCAATGAAGTTGATGGGGCAATACGATTTCTTGGCATTTCATTTGAAAAAAAAGGATCACCGGTATATGCGCCTTGAAAAAAACATGACATCTTTTTTTTATTCTATGCATACTGTTTTTTTAATGCGTTTCCTAAAAATAAAAACCAACATACTGAAATTATTGTCCTCCATCAACAAACAATCAAAAACACTGGACGAAGACGGCGAAGATGTTGTTGTAGATGAAATCATTGAACCTAGAAAGAGATGAAGACTCAAATACCAAATATCGAATGTATTCTCATTTTACATACCAAAACTTGTTATAGGAAAGGTTGTATCAATTAAACTTTTAGCTATTTCATTAATTGCCTTCTGTTCATTTAAATCTTTTATTGTGGACAAGTCACTACTATTACTGCTTACAGATGACAATAATAACGGATCAGTATCTGATACACTAGATGAATTTTGTAACAGAAAATCAATGGCAGCTGAATCATTTAAACACTAAAATAATAAAAGTAAAAGATGATAAAATATTCATATATAAAAGAAACAAAATAAACATGTGATTATTTTAACATTAATACGTTCTAATTTCAAACACACTGCATCTATCAATGGTAACACTCTATTTAGTGAGAAACTTGGAAGAAAAATGCCTAATACTCTCTATTTTGATCAATTTGCTGACAGATCGCACGTTTCATGTTTCAACAATGCAAAGTTTACACAGAATTTTAAAAAGTGATGACTACTAGATTATACGCAAGCACAAAACTAACAAGGTTTGCTACGATTTTAGATGTGTTGTATATTAGCTTTCCACATGCTAAAGCTATGACACTTCGAGTATATATGAACATACTCAAAAACACTAAAGATTATCCTGTGCGAACCACGAACATGTTGAAATGGAAAAAAACAGTTGTAAAATTTATTGATGTAAACAAACTACTCTGTCTTAGTTTGTCGAGCGGATTATTCAATAACTTTTCCTTGTAGGAAATATACACTGATGTTTGCGAACAATAATAATTTTTATTAATCTCGAATATTTTGTTAAATTCTTTTAACCAAAAAAATCGATTAAAAACGAAACATCTTTGTATTATTGTTATTATTATTACCTCTAAGAAATCATTATTATCGAATAATGAACTAAAATCATTATTTGATTCTGATGTGGTGTTGTTTATTGAGATAGTATCGGTCGGAAATAGATCATTGATTATACTATTAATTTTATTCTGCTGATTGTTACTGGTAGTATTATTACTAGTATTTATCGATTGTTTTGAAGACGATAATGGTTTTTGTAAAAAATTTATATCATTTTGATGTGGTGATGTGTCTGTGTTTAATAGTGATGCTAAACAATTGTCGTTTGAATTTGTTGTTGTTACAGACGGTATATAATGAAATAAATTTCCACCGTTATTATTACTCATTGTTGTTGTTATTGTCGTATTTTGACGATTGTTCGATGTAGTCGATGACAATGTTAATGGTAACGTTTGTAAAAAGGATAAATCTGGTGCTTCAAGACTTTGTAATAGTTCATACAATGGTTCATCTCTCTTGCTAATAGTTGTGGCTGGAACTGCTTGCTTAGTCGGAGTGTTGATTAACGCACGCAACAGATTCTTTGACGAATTTGTAGTCGACGATTGAGTACGAGTTGGTGTAGATACTTGACCATTCATACCATCATAATCACATCTATTCGGTTCAGCTTTTATTAGCAGTTCAGACTAAACAAAACAAAAACGGTGATTCTTTGAGTATCAATAACAACAAGATCTACTCATTCCATCTACCTTATTTTTTGATACTGATGTTTTATCTGATTGTTGTTCTTCTTTAAATTCAGATTTAATATTCGTCGGCTTTTCATCTATAAGTAACTGTGATACAATTTTCGGTTGTTTTCGTCCTAATGATGTATTATCCTGCTCTAACGAACGTTTTAATGTTTGTTTTAAACTTGTGCGTTGTTTTAGTGATGTTGTTTGATGATGATCGTGTTGGTATGAATCCGATAATAATGATTCTAACGATGGACTCAATAATGTATCCGATATAACAGAATCTGGTGCTTCACATGTTGTTGTCGATACAATATCTTGTACATCGCTTAAAGATGATGAATTACTACCATCAAATTTTGGCTAAACAAAAATAGTATGAAATAAAAAAACGTAGATAAATTTATACGATACAAACATACTTCTATTTTTGTTACTATTTTAGGTGTTGGCGGTGTAACGATAACGCGTTGATAATGATCATGTGTTTGAGAATTTTGTCGTTGTTTCTTATTCATCGAACCAACATTTTCGTCTGTATTCGGGAGTGATGTTTGACTTCTTAAATTTGGACGAGATGAAGGGGTAGTTGTCGAACCGTTGCCATTCACATGACTGTTTCCGTTTGATTTATACCTTGAACCATAAACAAATGGTGCCTCAACAACTACCTTTTGTGGTCGAACTTCATCATTGAGCAATGTCTTAAAAAAAACATGTACAAAAACATTAACAGAGACTCTACAAGCTAAATTTAGTTAGTAATATTCTGGACATATTATTGTATAAAAAGTTTGTCAAATATTTAAATGCTTTCTTAATCTTGTTGAGATGCTCATTTATCTTGCATCAACGTAACCTATCATATCTTTTGGATTTAAGATTCTACAAAAAAAAACTCATTATCCAAAAAAGAACGATAAAACGGCATGTCGTGAGCTCTTTTCTCTACGGATATCTAATTGAGTGTGATAAAAAAAAGTCTACATGAAACCATCACAATAAGATTGTTTCTTTCGAAAATGTTTTCGATCTTTTTGTACATTTGATCTCTTTTAAAGTAGAAAAAAAATTTTATACGATAAAAGATTGAATGATATTGGTGACGATATGTCAGTATATCTATCTCTCTTCAGTACTAAACTGATACACAAACAAAATTGTCTATCCTTTTTGCATTCGTTTTTATAATTGAAATTTAACAATAACTGATTATGGATATTCATTCATTCTATTTTTTGTTGTTGTTATAAGGTGACATGTCACATACACAAATACACTGATGAAGAATCGTTTTCTTCAAAAATAAAAAAGAAAACACAAAAGAAAACCACAACATTTTATTGTCGTTTGAAACAAAGGGTACATAAGTAGTTATCATTTGTTTCATAAAAATAAACTACGAATTAAGAGGCAGATGAGAACGACTCAAAGTTCTATTGTGTTGAAATGCTTTTAATCATCGTTGAATACTAAAAATCTGTTGCAATTGGAGACAAAAATGAAACGTTTGTAGTAACCATAGTGGTTTAGTATTGGTATATTTCTGTATAATGCCTTAACTTCTAAAAGACGATTGTACAATCCACTATTATTGACAAACACTGATAAAAGGAAGATGGTTTATTTTATCAATCCCATATCTCAAGTGATTTTGCATTGTTAAATAACGTGAAACTTGTTATTTAAACTTACCCTAAGAAAAACATCACTTCGTTCTTTCCTTTTTGGAATATTTATGTTATCTTCATTGATGCTTGGTTCAATTTTAATTGTTTGCGATATTTTGGTACCTGATGTCGTTGAAGTAGTAGAAGACGATGATGATTCAGTATTTGAATTTCCTTTATTAGAACTATTAGTTGATGTCGATGGCAGTGTTGCAATGGTGGTAGCATTTCTCGCTAATATTTGTTTTAATAATGCATCAGAATTATTCGCTGAATTAAATATATTTCCACTATTATATCGTCGACGTTTACTTGCAGTTATTTCTTGTGGCGATGTCTGAGTAGTGGTTGTTGGACTTTCAACTTGAGTTAAATCATCGATATTTTGTTTTATTGAACTTGACGGTAGCATCACATTACCACCGGGAGATTTATGATAATGAATTGTATTCGATTGTGGACTCGATGGAACAGAATTGACAGAATTCTGTGGCGATGAAACACTTAATAATTGTCTTAAACGCATCGATTGACGGCCGATAGGCATTGGACTCGGTGTTGAGGTGGAGGAGGTTGCTGATGTATAAACATCGGTCGTATGTAAATATGAATCACTAGTTGATATAGTTAATGGTGAATTGGTTGTGATTAATGTAGAAGGAGATGAAGAAGATGAAGTCGAGTTTAATGAAGAAGTCACTGTTATATTCGATGGCGAAGGTGATACAAAAATAGATGTAGATGTAACAGGTGTAGCTAATGAAGTATTGAGAAGTAATTCGAATGATGTCACAGGCGATTGGCAATGTACTAAAATCAAATAAGTTTGTTTATGATAAAGAGTGTAATTCTGGTGGGCCAGAATTACTAAAACGATTTATATATAAATGGTTTATCAATTCGTTTCAGTAATTCTGATCCATCCTTTATACGACGTAAAGAAAACAAAAGACATCATTCTCTTCCCTTTAAGTTAATTTATGAATAAATTCAGTCAAGTGTAAAAGTATTTACCAGACGGCGTATTTGAACTATTATTGGATGGACGATTTGTTCGTTTACCGCCGAATTCGACACTATCGGTCGAAGAAACACCTACAAAACAATTACGGTTTTAAATAGTTACTTTTCTATAAGAATCGATGTTTACTTACTATCGAGTGCCCTCGATCCAAGTGCTCGTGCTAATGATGAAAATGAAGATTGTGATTGAGGTGTTGTTGGTGAAGTACGAGCACTTGGGGATTGTTCTTGTTCATTGATATTTAATAAAGGCGTTGGTGTCGTAGCTAATGATAATTCTTGCCGCTGTTGTTGTAGTGAATTCTGAACCTGAAGCAGATTTCCTAATGTGTGCTGTAAATATTGTTGGCTCGATGTCGATGATAATGAGTTTGGAATAGTATTTTGATGTACACCAAGCATTGTTAATGCTAAAAAAATGTATGAACCATTATATCATTGTTATGTCTAACAAAAATCTGTACCCACCAAACTGAGTTCCAATCGGCTGTTGCAGCTGTTGTTGTTGTTGTTGTTGTAGCTGTTGTTCTATCCGTTTTTGTTTCTGTTGTTGTGTCTGTTTGGCGAGTTCATGTGTCGAAGTTATGATAGATTTCATTAAACGCGTACTTGCATTCCCATGTAAATCATTGGAATTTTCAATTAAACTACAAAGAGGAGAAATATCGTATCTTTCTGGTATAAAATTTGGAGAAAAATTTTTTTTACCGAACAATTGTATGAGTC